CTTTCTGCAGTCTTTCTACTGCTACTCCTCGGCTTCTTCTTAATGCTGTCTTTCAGCCACACCCCTGATTTTAGGGTAGGTAAGATCTAACACCTAGCCGTCTCGGATAAGGGAGAAAAATCTCGGAGGTCTCGTGTTTACGCTGTGCACATTAAAGATCCCTTGGTGGTCCAAATCGATAAGAGTAAACTTCGGCCATCACCCGGGCAAAATTAAAAATTGATTCCTACCAAACTAATAATGTTTATTATGTCCCGCGCGCTCATATTATAACTTTTTGCAGTTGCGATCGAGGTAAAACCCTTACCCCCGAAAAAAAAAGAAAAGAAAAGATAATTGATATAGAGTCCAGTATGCATTACCTACATGTAGTACAAATACTGATGTATTGCTGAACCCATTACGATTCTAAAGATAATAGTATCATAAAAGCGGTAACCCTTTTGTGTTCTAATTTACCATCTTGAAAGGTCACTGAAAAGCTCTGACAAACAGCAGTGTTGTTTCTTTTTCCGTGTGTGCTGTTTCGTGCGAGCAATAAATTTTTTAAATTTACTTGTGATGCACGCTTGCGAATGGGGCTGTACAGAGCTCGCCTGAAGGCCTTTTAAAACTCATATTTGCAGTTGGATACACTTGAACATTTAAAGACATAGAAACAAGATTTGACATTAGATTACCAACAATTTCGACACGCAAATGACATAAGCTGAACAGAAAAAAATAATAATGATCTGATCGTTAAAGTGGCTATAGTTTACACTATTTTTGTGAACAGATAAACTTAGCATTAAATGGTAAGGAACATTCTCTCTCTCAGATCCAAATCCTTTTCCATCCCACCCCTCTTCCACCTATTCCATTAACTTATTATGAAAACTCAGCTGTGCATGAAGCAAGCACCAAACATGGATTACATGACTGACTCTGTTTCTAAAAGTGTCTGGGTCGCTGTGACCTTGTTTTGTAATATTATGGCCTTGTCATGAGAGGTATGGAAAATAACACGTTTTTTGTTTCATACTCTCGTCTTGGGCCTAATGAGGATAATTCAGGAATAATAAACACAATATTAAATTACACCCCAACTTTCAGATATGTATAAATATAGAGCTCTTATAACCATATCGTAGTCTTCGTTTTCTTTGTGTCAGCTGCCTTCAGTTTAACTTAAAGAAAAATGAATTGCAATGTTTTCTAGAAATATGTTAGGTATAATACCTCCTTTTTAATCTCGGACAATAAACTATTGAAAGCTCTCTCTCTCTCTCTCTCTCTCTCTCTCTCTTTT